GGAACTGTGTTCGGCATTAAAAACAATGAATATAATGCATTGTACTCATGATATGTGGTTTTTTGTGTGTGTTACTTTGATCCACTAGTTGGATCCGTCGCTAGTCTTTTTTCGCCTTCGTTCTGTTGATATTCTGTTCACATACTCAATTTCTATGTCCTCATTGCTATAGCTTCAATTTGTCGAAGTCGACCGGACAGTTAGACTGGTTCATTGCATATTCGGCTACTGTTCTCGTGTCTTCTTTAATGTTTTTTCTCTTCGTTTTTCTTTTGTCCATCATATCGCTGATGCATACACATTAAAAAATATCGAATTACGCATCGGCTTATGGCGCTCAGGAATCGTCATTAGAACCATTTCAACGTCGTTTGTATGCTGCACGACCGGTGTAGTACAAATAAAATTCACATAATGCGACTGCTAATTAGGTTCTGTATTTATACAAGCTCGATATTATCGAGCTCGTCAACGCAAATTTTCAATGCAGCCGACAGCCGATATTATTATTTATTATTTAATCGGTACCTTTTTGTGCTGTAACTCTTTCGACATCGGTTCTGCGTTGAGCGTGTGTGTGCGTCTCTGACGATAAGTGTTTGTTTTCATTTTATTTGAGCAAATGACGAGTGTATATGGTTTTTGGACTATATTTGCCTCCATTTCGATCGTACGCTTATATCGTATTATTTAATAAGCGCACGCTCTCCTTTCCTTTCATTCCACATTGATTCGCAGCAACAGGTAGATTTTGTATTTGGTTTTTTCTCCGTCTGTCTCTGTCAAATAAACAATAATAATCGTCCATATGTTTGCATGTTCTTCATCGATTAGCTAAAAATAAACGCGGCCACCGGCACTGTTTTTAGATAATAACGGATTTTCTGTCCATTTTTAATGATGTAGATTAAAAAAATGCGACGATCTGAAAAGAGGTATCTATTTTTGGTTCGAATATTATCATTTTTTATGACACAGTCGATGGCTTTAGATGGCTTTGTTCATGAAGATGGCTACATTTGCATCTGTTGAACATGCATATTATGGTTCACACAAACAGATGCATGTCAAATTTCTGCAGAATCATAAACATTGACACATTGGCATGGCTACTGTTTGCACGTAAAAAGAAATAGACGAAAATTCAACGATAGCACTATACTTCATATTTTTCATGGAAATTTGACTTCCGGCGCTGATGCTACCGAAATTGGCTAGCCTGTTTTAGCAAACGTTTGTACACGTATGTTTTTAAAACCTAACTTATAACTAATGAAAGCAAACAATTCATTGATTTTTTTCTGTTTTTTTTGTTACACAAAAAAACTAAACTAACTACGCACGAAGAAACAAAATGGAGAAAATTGAATATTCGTGTATTAATCTGCCGCATAACTTGTACTTTTCGTATTGATTTGTTATACAATTTTGTTTTTTTTGCCAGCTGGTAGGTTGAGTGCTCGTGTGTGTAAACAGCAACAAATGTTTTCATGCTTCTTTTGGACTTTTGCAATTTTGCAATTTTTTAGGAAGGATTTCACGAAAAAAAAAAGATTTCCTTGGCAGAATTTTCTTACTCTATTTTATTGGATTGGTACTTTAATCTATTTTACGGTATAATACGAGCGGGTAATAATCTTCTGTCCAACTATTACGTAAACATCGATTGGAGAATATATTCGAAATCTTTAAAAATACTAATATCAAAAGATGCAAGTTGTTTGAAGGTAGCCATCATACGAAGTGCCTTAGAGCTTGAAATCATACAGCGAACAACCACTTCAAATTCAACCAAAGACGGCAATTTGTTTGTGATTATTTCTTCATTTTCTATGAGTGAGTTTGAATTATCGTCAGTATCTATCAACAGTTTCAGTGTTTGTATTGATTGAATTTTCGGAAACAAAGAATCAAAATATGAACAAATGCGATTGGATTAATGAAATTGTCTGGCCAAAATTCCTAAAACGACAAGTGCTTTAAATTGTTTAAATGTAGTATTTTACCATTGAAATTCTCAATAAAATCGTCAAACTCATCGACCTGCAGATCTTCAAGGTTTTCTAGGTATTCATTTAAACTTTGAAAAATATTCATGTCCATCATGTGCTGATTTAATTCGAGCTTTCTGAGCTGTGCGTTGTTTCGAATAATATTTATGTAAATTTCTGCACACGATGAGCATTTATCAAGACAACCATTAGATATTTGTAAATTATCGAAGTGTTGAAAATGATTTGCAATGAATCCGCTATGAAGGAATTTTGAACATTGTCCCCATGTAGCATTTGGAAACAGTCGAACAAGACAAATACTTTGTAATGTTAGTTGGTTTATAATTCCCGGTTACAGATAAACTTGGGTTGGTTTCATCTTTTACCTTCCGAGGGTTAGCTCTTCAACATTCGCAAATCGTTTCTTAAGCATAAAAAATTCGAACTGGTTGTCAAGAAATACAATGTAGTACATTCATCACACATGAAACCTAAAACATTGAATTTATGTAAATTTATGGAAACGTATAGAAACGATTCATTAATATCGTTTAGAAAAAGTTTGCCAAAAAAAATCATGTTAAATAGCATAACTTCTTTCGTTCTCGCTTCGAATTCTTTATGATTGTTATTTCTTTCAGTCGGCTCAGTTTGAATGTTGCAATGTACCGAAAAGATAAATACCTTTTTCGGTTTGAATATTATCATTTTTTTTACTATCACAGTGAAAGAAGAAAGTTTAGATGGCTTTGTTCGTGAAGATGGCTACATTTGCATCGGTGGAACATGCAAATTATGGTTCGCACAAACAGATGCATGTCAAATTTCTGCAGAATCATAAACATTCACACTGAACATGGCTACTGTTTGCACGTAAAAAGAAATAGACGTAAACGACGAGCACTATACTTCATATTTTTCATAGAAATATGACTTCCGGCGCTGATGCTACCGAAATTGGCTAGCCTGTTTTGGCAAACGAAGATGTCATTAGTCAGTTTGGCATTCTTCTGTCATATCCTAATTACCTACAGCATCCATTTTTCAATATGGTCGGTCGAAAACCATCGAATCACAGTTTACCCAATGGCCTTCGTAATCGTTTTGCCTCATTTTAAAACGGAATTCGCACGAAAAACCATCTACCCACAAGCCGATAAGGTTTCTACCTCATTTTAAAGGAAAAAAGTAAGTACCTTATGTATAACTGTACCGAATAGCTCTGTCTATTGAGACAATTTTATGAACTCTTACAAACTTTATTTTATATTTTAATCGATTTATTCTCCATTGTTTTACAGCAATTCAATTATGGATTTGGCTATTCAAAAACGCAGGTACATCGTAGACAGTGACACTGAGTTTGATGAGAACGATAATAAAATCAAACGTGTTAAAAAATTAAAAGGCAAAACCAAATTGATCGCACTTAATGATGACTGTCTGGAGAAGCTATTTTTGTATTTACGTTCAAGGGATTTGGGCAACATATTCGTTAGCAATACACGGTTTTCAAACAGTGCTGGGTATGTGTTTCGAAAAATACACGCCGATACATTGGTGACGTTCGATCCATGCGCTTCGAATGGAAAAATTTTCAATGATTTTTTGAATATGTTGGATGCATTTGGCGACCATATCAAACGATTGCAAGTAACATTTTACCATGAGCGACGCTATCACAATCGAAACCAACAGATTCTCAATCGAATTGTAGAAAAGTGCAGCAAAAGCGTAATCGAGTTGAATCTTTCAAATATTCAGAACAATATGGATGTTATGGATATTTCAAAGCCATTTTTATATTTGCAAAAATTCACGCTCAGCGACAGTTTTTTCAACGAGCCAATGGCACATTTTATTCGTATGTCAGCAAAGATTTCATGTTTGGAATTTTACTGCGTTGAAAATGTGTTCAACTCCTCGTTCATCGAACAAAAGATGCCGTTAATGACGCATTTTGGCAACTACAATCAAGTCATAACGGATTCGGAAGTCGAGAATTTACGAAAATTCCGCCGTTTTGTAAATGTAAATGGACAATTAAACAGTTTGGGCATTGGTGAAAAGGAATTGGAAATGATGTTTCGGTATGACGAGATTCGCCAGCAGTTTTTCAAAACTATTCATCGAAAATTACCATATCCTGACCAACACGATCACATCACATATTTGCTGCCTTTTGAACCGGTATATTTCGGTCACTTGAAGCACTTGAGCCTTTCACTGGGATACTCAAGTGATTTTTTGCGCTGCATGCGAGAACGCCGACTCACAATTGTCAATTTGCCATTAGAAGAACTCGAATTGTACGTCGGTCACTTCAACGTTGAGTCAGTTGATTTCATCGTACATTGTCGTCAGCTAAGGAAGCTACAGCTATACGTTTGTGAACGTTTCGATGCCATGAACGTCGTTGCGGTCACAATGAATTTGCCTCGGCTGCATGAATTACACATCTTTTTGCTGTACAATGAAAATCCCAAACTTTCCATCATTGCCGATGTTATGAATATCATCATCGATAATTGTGCGCACATAAAACGGATTGTTATTGGCTTTGAAATTAAGAAGCCGAGCAATAGCATCGATTCGGAGTATGAGAAAGAAACTGCAAGCCGTCATGAAGCCATTTTCTTTGATTCGTTTTCGAAAAACCTTCCACATCAATGGCGCGTTAATTTTGTTACACAAAATGCTGAAATCAAACGACAAAATTCAAATGAATCGTTCTTCTTATGTGCCATTTTAGAACAACATTCGATGAAATTGCTTCGATGACCAAACAGCATTTGTATAGTTTTTAGTAATCATTTGCAATATTTAATTTTTAATTGATATTTTTGGATTTATTGTTAAGCATCGATTAGTATGTAAGACTTGAAAAAAGAAATCAATTTGATCATGAATAAAAAGAAATTTCATCACAATTTTTTAAACAGACAAAATTGACTTTTCATTTTGATTTAGAACAAAGGGCGTTTGTTTACTAAATGGAATTGTGTCGGTTGGTAGTGGCACCACTGGTCATTTGCAAAAACACCAACTTCACTGTAATCGGCGATGTTTGCAATAAGAATTTACACCCCGATATGAAACAGCACATTTGATATCCAATAGACCTCTTTACCATATTTTATGGTTTAATTTTTATCGTCAATCGATTTAATGAGAAGATAAAAGAAATTAGTTGCATATTTTATCGAAACGACAATTAACGATTGCAAATCGTAGCTCAACAATAAATAAAATCGTGGAGAACAATTGGTAAGCGTTGAAAATTTCGATGTTAAATGTTTAGTTTATGGAGATGACACAGTAAATGCGGGCAGGTTTGACACATTTGCTTATTTTTACAGTCATTTGCATAGCTATCGATTTGAAGACAGCGAGTTTGGCAAATCCATTGCGAGAGGTTACGGTGCAACGAAAAGAATCGCCTTACAAACAGAAAATTGGTATATATTGACATAACCTCAACTTCGGTGCGACAAGTAAAACCGTTTGTTCTTTTTCACAGCCAACTCAATTTCGTTCGCACTGACATCAAATCAAATCGGTCACGCAATGCAAGTAAAAGTAAGCACACTGCGAACATTGAAAATGGACGCAATGAAAGCTGATCGCCTGCACAGAACGAAGCGTCAGCAAAAACGTAAAAATTACGTTAAATACCTCTTGAAAATCATTCATTTGAATGATGATTGTTTGGAACGGATATTTTTCCAATTGGATCTGATAGAATTGGCAAAAGTGGCCGATGCCAACACGCGACTGGCTGCCGTGGCCACCGATGTATTCGCTCAGAAATATCAGCAGCAAGAAATTCAAATCAGAAGCTGCCAAGACACAAAGTTATGCGGAAACAAAGAAGAGCTCAACTACGGGCGAATGCCATTCGAAGAAGTGCGCATGATCCTCGAGCATTTTGGCAAGCATATTATAAAATTGGACATCGATTTTGGCCCATTCAGTTCATCACATCGGGCGCAGCGAATTGTTGATAAGGTCAGTGAATTCTGCAGCAGTACATTGTTGGAATTGAAGTTGGGAATGCTTCGGGATGGGATGCGATTTCGGCAGCCATTCATCAAATTGGAAAAATTGGTATTTTATCAGAGTTTTTTCCGTTTTCATGAACCAATCAAAGAAATAAGTACATCGTTCCCAAATATTCGTTGCATCGAGCTTCAAAACATTCGCTATGCATTTAAAAGTATTCGATTGGAACAACGGCTACCAACATTGCAGCACATTGGCTACTACACACACCCATATGTCCAATTTTCTGCGGAAGATTTGCAATCGATTCACCGCATAGCTCAATTGAATCCACAGCTCAGAAGCTTGGGCACGTATTTGGGTGCGATCGAAATGTCAAAAATAGGTCCAGAGAGTATGTCAATGGAACCGATGCCGAGCATTGACACAATCGAAGCGGTTTGTTCCTACCCAATGGCGAATGGGCCGTTTCATTTTGCCAATATCAAGCACCTAAAACTCAATGGATCGGAAACCTTGGATCGTGGATGGTTCGAAATCGGCAATCAAATTGAACAATTGGATTTGTTAGCCTGCCCAATAGACGAGAACATTGCGAATTTCATCGTGAGCTGTCGGAATTTGAAGAAGTTGAAAATTGTCACCAACGAAGACTTTGATATGGAACACGTAAAGCATATCGCCAAAAACCTACCGTCACTCAACGAGGTACATTTTTCAGTGTACAAACACAATAAAGAGCTCAAACATTCTACAGCCCTGACAGCGGTGGTTGAATTCATGCAGCATTGCAAACAATTGGCCAGAGCTAGTGCTGCACATGATATCGACGATGGGAAGCAGTGTCGTTCGCGATACAAACACAGCACCTACATTAAATCAAAGCCAATCATCAAATTGTATCGCGACACAATCGACCGAAGTGTACCGCAATCATCACAATGGCGCATCAATCATCAACTGAAACCGGTTGAACTTATTAAAGGTTTTGAAGGCTATCACAGGTATTTATTTTTCCAGGCTAAATTCGAAAAACGACGTCAGTCCAACGCTTGAACAACAGAAAATTCGTTTACACTCGCAATAATATTGATTTGCAAATATTTTTATGAGAATTTATCAACTACAGAAAAGAGACAAAAAAGAAGAAAAAAATGTCGATAAAAAAGGAAAAGATGCCAAAAAAAAATTGCCATAAATATCAATTGTATGATTACTACAAATTAGTTGAATTGTATTCAATTGAAAATGTTCGATTGGAACAAAAAAATATTACTTTTCAAACACTTTATGGGAACATTGAATTAAAAGCATACAAATATTGTGTATACAAAAGGATAGTGTTTCACATTTTGGCATTCGTAGAAGAATTTTTGGCTTAAACGAACAAATACGGTTGTGTATTTTTCTGAAGAAATTTCGCAGGTATTTTCAGGTATTGGATCTCGGCTCAATTTTAAAGGTTTGTATAGAAGCACTTACCGAGGGTGATTAGCAAATTAAATGGAAAACACTCAAGACTAGAATAATAATCCTTTCACTGCAAATTCAAGCACATTCATCCATTGTGCATACCGTATATAAATGCACACTGAAAGTATCACGTCAGTCAGTTATCAGCGAATTCTGAAATAGGTCATATCTCTGTAGTTTTGTGCTTATTTTTGCTCTTTTACAGAACAAATACGTTCATCGTCTAGAATCAAACACAACTGTTTTCAATCGTGAGGAATTTTTTTTTTGTGAGGAGTAAGACAAACAATTTGTGCTACACAGTTAATTCTTGGAACAATTCAATTTACTGACATTTTTTCCTTCGTGCTAATTCGAAGAATTTTTTTCGATCGTTACAACGACATTTTTCACCCCGTCTCTAACTGACATTGTATTTTTGTACTTGAAGATATTGAGTTGACAACATCTATTTGAAAATAAATTGATCGATTTTGCGGCAGCTACGTTCATATGGGTCCAATGGAAACAATTGAATTGTCACCGGAGAATTTGCAACCAAGCAATCGACGATTGACAATAGCTCATTTGAATAATGACTGTCTCGAGAAAGTGTTTTCGTATTTGTGTCTCACCGATTTGACGAACGTTGCCGAATCGAATGTTCACTTGGCAATTAGCGCACAGAGTTTGTTTACACACGAATTCAAATCCAGGGAATTCAAGTTCAATTGCTACGACAAGCGCTCATTGACTGAAGAGATTTTCCTACTTATTTTACAACATTTTGGCAAATGTATGGTTAAATTACGCATTAATTTTTGCACCGATGACAGGAGAAATTTTGATATTTTGGGTGCAATTGTGGAAAATTGCCGAGCCACCCTCAGCGAACTAACACTATTGGGTGTAACCAGAGCGATGAAATTAACTCAGCCATTTGTAGCTTTGAGAAAACTTCAACTATGGGACAGTTTGTTTGGTATAGACGATTCCATGACTCGAATCAACCATTGGTTTCCGAATTTGAACTGTGCCAAATTTTACAATATACCAAAATTCTGGGAGAGTACTGAAATCATCGAACATTTTCCAAAATTAGAATCCTTTGGTTTTCTCACATTCCCGTGTCAAGAACATACAGTAGGTACTTTGGGTAAATTGGCACGCTTTCTTCATTTGAATCCACAATTAAAATGCATCGAGTTGGATGAATTGCATCAATTTGGTGACGGTGATTTACGTGAGACATTCAATAAACTTGCACCAAGTCATCTGCCAAATATTAAACGACTCGAAGTGGTATCGCCATATCCATTCCCATGTGGAACATTTGTATTCGACAATTTGAAAGAATTGAGTCTATCGATTTACCGTGACGCTTCGGATATTTTCAATCAATTGCCGCGGACAATCGAATGCTTTGAACTACGCATGAATGACATAAGTTCATCTGCTATCAACTACATCTTGAGTTGTCCAAAATTGAGAACGTTAAAACTCATAACAAGGTCATTGAATGCATCGTGGTTAGAAGAAATATCCAAAGAATTACAATCATTAACGGAGTTTCATATCAAACAACCTATGGAACTTATTGACTCAAAAACACTCGGCGGACTGGAGTATTTTTTCTTGCACAACAAACAAATGAAAGTCATTACTTTGGACATTGAATTGAACTCAATCGAAATAAAGACCTCAAATTACAAAAGTCAAGTTGAATTCGCACGAAAATTTACAAAAACGATCAATGACACAATGAAAACAAAGTGGAGGTTGAGCCATGAAACTCATCTGAATCAAAACGATCACCGATCACATGAGTTAATATTTTTCCCATTTTTATTACTTTCTTTTCAGAAACTGCATAGCTATTAACAAATATTTTTCCATAAAAATTCATCAGATTTAATTGTAATTGTAATCCGAAATTCGAAATAAATCATTTTTGTTTGAGGAAGAAAAGTGTGTTTAAATTTTCTATGTAAAAATGCGTTGAGGAAATAAGTTTTGTATCGTTCGTTTGCCGCATGGAAAAGTGCGATAAGGTGAGTTACAGTAGTGAGTGATGACAAAAAAAAAAGAAATGCTGCATTTAAAATGGACTGAACGGATATGCACACGATCTAATAACAATTGAAACAATGAATATTACCACACGATACACATATTCAGGCTGGCTGGCTGGTTGTGCTGCTCGGTATTTAAACGGAGGGATAAATAAAATACCGAGATTCCCATGTACAATAGTTTCAACAAAAATAACACAACAGTTTGTGCTTTGTTTCGTCGTTCCCCCCAGTTTTTTTTTTCTTTTACTCGTTTGTTGATTCGCTTTTTTCGTATTTAAATTTTTTCTACACATTCAGTATGTAGCGTATATATATAGTTTTTTTTTCGCTATTGTTGTTGGGACTGAATTAAGGTTTTGAGTTAACTATTTTTTTTTCTCCTCTTTATTTGTTGTCGGTTTTGCCGTTTCGTTTATATGCTTTTCTCTATTCTGGCCATAGTTTATATACATATTGTGTGATGCGCACCTGTGATTTTGTCGGCATACACGTGTATTTATGCACTTTACAGAATCTAATGTTTGATGTTCGACTAGCTGGCAGCAACAAGCGATGACCCTTGCTTTGGCTTTCATTATTATTGTTATTATATTCAGTTGTTGCCGGTGCTGTGGCTGTAATGTAGTTCTATGTGTGCCGATGTGTACATTTGTGCACCTCATCACATCGCATGCGTGTGTACCGACCAAACAATTTTCATTTTTATGTAATGATACATTACGCAAACTTACCGAAGCCTCTTTTTTTATACTTGTTCTTCTCTTGTCTCTCCTCCCTTCAGCGCACGATATTTAAACCATGCACGCAGTATTCCTTTTCAATTTGGTGTGTTTTAACTTTGTTTCTTCCATTTCGTAAGACAACAGGGTATATTATTTCAGGTTGAGATTAAACACGTTTCACATATTTCCATCATCATAGCGTTGTTGTTACATTTTTTGTTGTTGTTGTTGCTTCGTGTGGCTGGCTTGAATTCGGAGCATTGGTATCAGGAGCTTTGCTACACACAGCAGCACAATGTATTCGGATTTTTCTTATGGGACGTGAGAATTGAAAATGAATGTAAAGTGAAGAAAAAAAAACCCGAACAAGGACAGAATGCAGCATATAAAAGGTAGTAGCTTTCTTGCTGGTCATTGCATTTGATGTGTGTATATACTTATGCATGCAACAATAGGGATTTATTTTCGTTTCGTTCTGTGGTTCTCGGTATTTGTCGATCGTTGCAGTCCGTATTTTCATGTCGATCTCCTTATTTTTCATCGTTGTTGGGAGCGGCGGTGGCGGCGGTGGCGGCGGCGGCAACGTTTTGCGTCGCCGATCACCAACAATCTCTCGTCCATTTGTGATGGTGGTAAAACCAGTTTTATTGTATTTAATTTTTTTTTTACCCTTTCCTTTCTCTCTTTGTCGCGCCTGTTTTATCGGTATTCCGTAATCTCCTTTACATTACATATTTCGACACCAAACAGCCCGATATCTTCGACCATTTGCCACGAACATAAATTCAATGAGCATGTCCGAATCGCTCGAATGCCGTGTTGTAATTCTCTCGGTTTTTCTTCTCTCCTTTTTGCCCACTCGCTCAGCGCTGTTAAATGCCTGTGACTTTGAAATAAAAAAGGATAATAATGTTTGTGCAGACAGCCAAGAAGAACAGGATGTACTACTTTGGATTAAATATAATTACAGTAGTGATTTTTTTTTGTTCAATTCAACACACACACACACACAAATCGAAAAGCATGAAAATCGTGATTGGCTTCGTAGTAATAAATAAGAGCAACGGTTACGTTTCCAACTAAAGCACTTAATATTGAACATTAACAATTCCTTTATGATCTTTCTTTTTTTTTTGAAGAAAAAAATATGGGACCATAATCAAACCCTTACTTTTTTCTTCTGAAATTTGTTTTTAATTCAAATTCATTGCCTTTCAGATGTTCATTTTATCAATATCTATGTTTAAGATCAAGGGTTTCAATTCGAAAATTGAATTCAAATACGAAATAATGATTAAATTATGGAAATTCTCTTTCGCTGAAACTGAACCCAAAACATAAATTCAAGAGAATTTTGAAGATTAATTCTTACCGCAAATAAACGTTCATGTTTGTTGAAATTTCCGTATGGAATAAAAAATAGAATAAGAAGAAAAAGCATTGATTCATGAAATTTGGCCGGACGGCACGGTGAAATGAGAGAAATCAGTGAAATGAATCGAGGGAAGGAAATTTAAGAGTTGATCATACGAGAAAAAAAAAAAATAAGAGAATCGAGCAACAGTGAACAGTACAATTGCAATCACTTTATGTTCTTTTCAATTTGTTTCTTTCTCTCTTTTTCTCAATATCCACAGAATTGAAAATATAATGGTAATGCATTGTTACAACTAACGAGATAAATGCTGAAACAGTATGGCACACAGCACACACAAACACAGTCGGCATCAAATAGGAAGGCAATAAGCCATAATGCGATGCGAACGGAGCGAGAAAGAGAGTGAGTAAGCGATACGGGTGTGTTTTTTTTTGTCTACTCTCATCGGTTTTCGTACACATAAAATGCGTGGTGCGATTTAAAATGCGTATCATTCAATCTTCGAGTAGGAACTCATAAATACAACAACTATGCACACTCACGCATCAACCCAAATCGGAGGCGAAACTCTTTAAATATTTTAGCTGGGACCGAAAACGAGAAACGCGAAGCAAGGAGAAAATATACAGAAAACAGAAATGAGAAATGTTTAAAATCCTTGACTCTAAAAAGAAATAATATGCTATGTTGTGCTTCTTACGACTTTTT